GTCAGATCGCACCATTGTTGTTTGAGCCAAAGTGGACTTAATGGGAGAAGACAAAGGAGGACACAATTGTTTAAAAAAATTTGCCAAACAACATATTGACCAGCTACAAAGCCTCAGGGAGATTGTTCTATGTACAGAGGAGACAAAAGCTGAACTTTTTCTCAAGGCACATCAGCTGTTCACAGATGAAAATGAAGCATATCAAGAAAAGAACAATGGGCCTCATGCAACATTTTAGTCTTGTCCTAAATTTCTTTTACTTTTTTGTTCCATGGCATCCTATGAAAACACCACATCAGATTTAAAAAAAAATCTTAACTTCAGTAACTGATCCTTGTAAACCTTCACTGTCCGGCTGCAGCTTTTACAGTTTTCGGTCAGTTAGGATTAAAATATTAATTTTTGTCTTTGAGCTAAATGCCATAATATTGTGACTCAGATAAAGCTCTAATTATGAGCTTCTCAATGTCCAATTCCACTTGAGTGTAAGTGAGCCTGCGTGCTAGAGAAATGCAAATTTGCATAATTGGAAATTGCCTTAAAATAGTATATGAGTACATAATCTTGTCAGACTGTGCATTGACAAAAAAGGCATCAAAAACGAAGAAGAAAAACTTTATTAGTTAGGAGTTCGAGGTGCTGCTGACTGAGAACTGAGCAGCAGAATTAAAGGACCAGTAAAAGCCATGAAGTAGAGAATAATTCAGAAGAGCTGGGAATTATGTGTTTATACTTACAGAAGTAAAAATAAAAGAATAAAAGTATAAAATCTTTGATCCAAAAACAGTGTAAACTACTGGTGAAAGCAAGAGATGCAAAAATATGATGTAAATGCTTGAAGTTGAAGTTTGCCATCAATCAACAACGACGTCATTCTGCAAAATCTCCTTTTTATACACACACACACACAAACACACACACACACACACACACTCTATCTGCCATTGTAGTGAGGAGTAAGTGTTGACTTCCATTGACTTCCATTGATTTTCAGTCATTTTCAACCCTTTCAATGCCCTAACCCTAAAACTTACCCTAAACATAACCATTACCAATGCATACCTCACCTTCACCTTTTTGCCAAGGAACACCAGTTGAATATTTACAAAGGGAAAGTTGAGTGTATTAAGATACAAACACTTTCCCTAATGTGAAACATGGACGAGGCTATTTTATGCTCTGGGGCTGCTTTGCTTTATCAGACACAGGGTGCCTGAATCTTTCCAGACTTCAAACACCTCATGACTACCAAGGGATTGTAGAAAGAAATGTGCTGCCAAGTGTCAGACAGCTCAGTCTTAGGTCAATAGGATAATGGCCCAAAACACGCAAGAATGGCAAAGTGGAAACATTGGACTATTTTGAAATCACCTTCTATGAGCCCTGATTTAAATCTTATTAAGCATCTTTAGAAGGAGCTGAAACATGTTGGAAAAGGTTTCCTTCCAATCTGAGGCAACTGGAGCAGTTTACTGCAATGACAAAATAATAATTTTGCATCTCTAAATAAAATGTTTTGAAATAATTTCTCTCAAGTCATTAGTAAAACTTAAAGGGGTGCTGTAAAAGCATCAGGGATTTATTAAATAACAGTAGTAAACAGACAGATTCATAAGAAAAATAGCACACAGATACAGTATGAATGAGTTAATAAACCATTTATAATATCAGGAAATCATTTATTATCAAAGTTTCTAATTTCTCACAATTGATTACACATAAGAGTTAGAAACACAAACAACCAAAATGAAGATACGGTTATTTATACTATTTTTTCCACTGTTCTCTCCGTTCTTGGAGAAGTAGAAGATAACAATATAAAGCTCAATTCATTATACTTTATTCTGTCAAATTCATGAACTTTTCCAAATACTTTGAATCTATTAAATCAAGCACCTAGGCATGAACTTTGACCTTAATTAAACCAGTTTGCCACACTTTCCAGCATCTAAATATTCCAGAATTGACCCATCTAATTCTTATGAGATCTAATTTAATCAAGAGATAAAAATGTGGCAGATAAAAAAAAGAGTAACAGCAATATTGGTAAGCTAAAATAAAAAAATTATTCTAATACAAAATATAAAACAGTTTTACATTTGGTTTGGATATCTCAAACAAAAACAAACTTCCAACCAAACAACAATCTCGCTGATTTTTCAACCAACTGGTGAGAACATTTTTCCATCCAAGCTGTGCAGTTGCTTTGCCAAAAGAAATTGGACTCAATTTAAGAAAGAATAAACCAGAGCAACATTTTGTTGAGATTTCTTTAAATTAAATGACCCTCAAATGAAATGAATAACTTTTGACCTGTTTAGAATAATGTAAGAAACTAAGCATCCAGTTAATATGTATTCTCTCTAAATGGATAAGGAGTAAAGAAAAAGGAGACCATGAACTATGAGGACCCCTCAGGAACACCCTGTTCTCCCCTCTTCTCTCTCACTTAGAATCAATTATTCATTTCAAACCATTGAACCATGAGAGGCACGTTCAGCATATACATGTTCTCAGATTCATATTCAGAGGAAGAATTGTTGACTTTAAAAGTAGAAATCTGTCACAACTACTAATGTGTTCCCTCTCTTAGCAATCATGAAACAGGGATGTCTGTCTGTAGCTTCTCCTCAGTTCAATTGCAGGAATGCAGATTAAAGAAGAGTTTAAAAAAAGTATGCAGGTAAAAGGTAATATATCTGTAGTCAAATTGAATTTTCATGGCAGAATAGATTATTTTAAAGTGTCATGGCCAAATCCAACTGCTTCCCAGATGGGTAAAGACAAGATACAATCTGCAGCAATATTACTGTATCACTATAGTTCAGATTTTTTTTTTAAGTTTAAAAAAAAAACAGAATTTTTTTTTTGATTGGACTAAATATTAGTTCCTCACATTTAGCTGATTTTTAGGCGTGCGGTTTTACACGCCACATCCTGGACCATACTGCTCAACCCAACCAAAAAAAGGCAATTTTCATGTGATTTTGGCAACATTTAAAGGTATAGTGGAGGTTTTTTCATGAAATTTTGAAAAGACCCACCCTCTACACTTAAAAGAAAAAAAAAAAAAAGAAAAAAAAAAAAAAGCACATGCACAACCTTGTACCCTCTCCTGAGAGGGAGCGTCTATTAAACGTGTGTGAGAGCGTGCACAAGCCCTTTTCTCCTCTTGCACGCTCTGTTTACAAGTTACTGTTTGCATCGCTCATACAAGCTTACTTTCCAAAAGAAGATTTGCACTTTCTCCCCTATGTCAGACTCAATACTGGTAAGAGAAAATGGGGACGAGCACGTAGGACGGCCTTATGTAAACATATCACCAGAATGACGGACACTTAGGAGGACCACTTATTTAGATGATCCACCCAGAAAAAGAACATCCTCCACTATACCTTTAAGAAGAAAAGAAAAATGCTTTCAAATGGCATGAGATTTATCATCAAAAGTCTACCAAGAAATTTACATTATTAATTTAACTTAATTAAATTTGGTTATTTATTTTTCCTTAGGCTTAAACTTGTTGGCTTTTTTAAATTAAAGATATTTAAATGTTGTCATTTCTAGGGGTGAGAAAAAACACTTGGCAAAACATAATTCTTCAATTTTCATTTTTTTTGTGCTATTTTTATAATGTATTCCATTTTTATGCTGTTTTTTCTGCAGACTTTAATCAATACCTGATTCGGTCTGATCTGGTGTTTTGTTTTGTTTTGTTTTGAGAAATAGAATAAATATCAAACTGCATTTTTATTAAATGTCAATTCAGTTCTTAATTTAATTTAGTTTTTTAGTAATCTTTATATAGCACTACTAGAGTAACAAGTTGTTTAAGATTCCTTTCATAAAACAAACAGGATCACAGTAAACATTAATAAAACATACATCAAGTCAGATAGAATTTTTTTTTAAATAGCTTAAGGTAACAAAACAACTATCCATTAAAAGTTGACGTACAGATGCCAAATATTTCACAATTTGGTCTTCAAGCACACTTTGGGGGATTTTAAAAGCACCTGATCGACTGACATTAGAAATTGAGGTGATATGTACATTTGATGCAGTTCATGGATGAAGGACTAAAGAAGTTAAAACTGCTTCCTAAAAAAAACTGGCAACCAGAGGAAGGAGAGCAGAACTGGAGACACAGGCTACCTTTTCTCTTGTGTGTGTTTAAAGCCAAGCCCAACTATTTATCACTTGCTGTAAGCGACCAACAACAGATAGACGCTCGATTCAAATGCCTCATATTGTAGCTTCTAGCTCCTTTTTCTAGGAGTTACAGAATGCTTCGTTGAATCCAAAACAGCTTCAGCATTTTTTACACACTGGACACACAGATGAATGACACATATCAATTTGGGACTACAGCCTTCAAGAAAATAACTACAAAAAAACAAAGTATGAAGGTGTTTACATTAGCATTTGTCACATACGGTCTACGTAAGTGGGCTGTGCCTATTTGTCCTGATATGCAAAGGACCATGGGCAACCATATAGCACCATGCAGCTAAATGGATGGGAGCTAGGAAGCATTCTGCTCATTGTTCCTAGATCCTTCCTAACTGCTAGCCTTTATTATGGTGACGCAGTGACTTACAGATTTGAGATAATCAGATTGAGCCTGAGAAACTAGAGATTCTTCTATTGCAGAAATCCAGTCATGGAGTTAATAAATCATATCTGATAATATTAGCTTCATTCGTGCCCATCTCCTCCATCTAGAATAGCCCCTAATTAAAGATTTATTTGATGCATTGCATTTAGTGCTGCTGATTTTTTTCTCCTCAGATTTTCTGTAATCTAAAAAATAAAATTCTAACAAGACCACATTAAACACCAAGAGATTCATTTATATGAAGCATTTGGGCAACACTGTATAGAACACTGTAATTGGATTCCCCCCCCCCCCTTTTGTTATGGGTGGTTTAAGATTTGCAGTGCTTGTTCTTGTATTTTAAAAACCTGCATCATTTCCTACCAAAGGGAACTGAACTCACCAAACCGTTGACGTCCATACCGGCCTCCAGCAGGGTCTGGATGGTGCTGTGGTGTCCGTTTCGTGCAGCCAGGTGAAGCGGAGTGTGGAGGCGTGTGTGGCTCGTCATGAGGTTTGGGTGAGCATTCACCAACATTTGCACCACCTGAACACAAAACCAACATTGCATTGTGATGCAGATCAACACAGTATTCAAAATACAAGGAGACGGTGTTCTCTCTGTCTTTTGCCCAAAGGTTCCTGGCTCCCTCCCTTTTTTATTTAGCCGTCTTTCTTGGACTCAGCCACCGACTAAAATCTAGCAGTTTATTTCTCTCTCATAGAAAGTACCTTCTACCACTACTTAATGGTCAAGGAACTTACTTAATCTTAATGGAGATCAGGTGCCTGAAATTTATTTTAGGCACCTGATTTTGGATTTGAAAATATAAAATAAAAGTTTCAAAAATAACATAGAAAAATAATGACAGTTTCAAAATTCATAGGATTGGTTTATTTTTTTCCTATTTTATGCAGTGTTTTTTCTTTTACTTTTTTTGGAAAATTTGTAAATTGTTAAACATTTAAACAAAAAATGCATTTCATAAAGATCATCATAGGGGGAACGGATTATATCATGTGGCTAAAATACATTATGTCCCTCTTATAACTCTGGCAAATAATGATCAAATGTCACCATTTCTACAGGGTTTGCTGTTGATGAAGAGAGGAATAAACACAGATAAAGACTTGCAGGTGGATTCATTTCTTCCCATGTTATGGAGCGGGAACGCAGCTGAAATATTCATTCTCTCCTCCTCTCATTTTTTCCCTCCTTGGGAAATAAAGAGCAACTTTTTCCAAATTTCATTAGAACTCTCATCTTTTCAGGAGCTCTTAAATTTTGTGCCCTGCTATCAGCCAGTTCCCATCCACAAATGAAAAATTATTAGTACACACTACATGTTTGAAAACTGTGTTTGGTGACTGACTTATTTTTCAGGCTTAAAGGCACACTATGCAACATTTTTCAGTTAATTAATGTGTTCCATAACGTTTTGGATGATTAAATGAGTCATTTCAGGTTGAACAAAGGTATTCTCGGCCGCCCTGGTGGTCTGTGGGGGAAATACCGCACTTGCAATTGCAGGAGCACCGACCCGCACCCACAGGCTCAGAAGTCTCGCGAGAGTCAGTCTTGCTTTACGGCGAGAACTGCTACACCCCCCAGTTAAAAGCATGCTCGTTGCTAGCACAGTGGCGATCTTTGTGCAGTTATGCTACGTTAACATCGGACGAAGCAAAAGCAGCAAAATCGCGTCTGCTGCTTCATTTTTGCTGCTTGTACCAGTTAGTTCTGACGCGCGGCTGAAGCAGCTTTGCTGCTCTGGCTGCGCGGTGCAAAAGTGTGTCTGACGCGCGTTGGGCGGAGCTTCACTATCCTTTCTCTGCCTTGCAACTATATTTGCTGTGATCAGTGGGAATAAAGTAGTTTTAATATGTGTTTAAGTGAGAAAATACACATGAAAACGTAATCAGTGCAGTCAGTTCATTCAGATTATCATCCTGCCTTCAATATTTTTTCTGTCGGAGCCGCTCAGACCCCCCACATACCAGCGGTGCGCCGACAGTAGGACTCCCTTCATCAGCAGCCTCTGGCCGGGTCGCCTCCTCGCGGTTCACCGCGGCAGCTGGTAGGTGTTTTTCATCTAAATAATCCAAACTGCAGGCAGCAGGATAATAAAAGCGAACATATTCTGCCTGCAGATTTCTGCATTTTAAGTTAATTTAGGCGTCAATAAACTGTTTAAGAGGAGTGATCATAGTGCTCTGATCATCAGCGCTGTGTCTCTCTCCCTGCGTCAGATGATTAAACGCGCCCGACGCGCTGCTTCAGCTGCTCAGACGCGCTGCGCCTGCTGCTCAAAACGCGCTGTGTGACCTTTTGCTGCGCCTTGACGCGCGTCAACCATTTACTTTGCATGTAAACTCGCTGCTTCTGTCGCGCCAGCTGCGTCCGGTGTGAACGCAGCATTAGTCATTCGTTGCGTTCGCCTGTCTGCTAAGCTCAAAACAACCGCATCTGGCTTGACGGAGAAACCAGGAGAACAGCTGTGCATATTTACGACAGTGCACTTTTACTTCCGCCCTCTGGGGGGAGCCTCGCTGGAAAATCAACACCGGTTGCATAGTGTACCTTTAAGTGCCAGAAGTTGGAAAAAGGCCAATTCTCTTGGCGTTTAAAAAACAAAACAGCTTAAAAAGTGCCTCGTCTATTTATTTATTTTACCATTTTGTAAACAACAGCTGCTGATTAAACATGATATTATAACCTTGACATGATTATAGGAGTTGTTTTTGCGAAAAATCGATCAGAAGCGCCGTGAAAAAGGTCCCATCCGCCATTTTCGTGCTCCCAACACAAGGGAAACAGAATTTCATACAACACCGGGACAAAGAATGTCTGGAAGTCAGTCAGAGCTCCACATACCTGGGACATTATTCTGTTTAGCTGCAGCTAGTGGTGACAACTTATTCTTCTGCACGGTAATGCTACAGGTGCTTTCCTGCCCATGCTGTCACTATCTGGTGAATTGCAGTAGTGCACATTATACTCAGACCAGCTCAGAAGCGAAATCCGTGGCTCTTGGGGAAACATCCGGGGCTGCAGCCCAAGTAGACACCCCCTAGATCCGCCACTGCTGACCAGAAACTCTCCCATCCACTGTAATGCTGTGCTGCCGGTCAGGTACTGTAGCTGAAGAAAGGCCTCTTATCCTGTTTTTAACAGATCTTCCCCTTTAACTGCCATCAACTCGTAGCTCAATAACAATCATGTCGCTAGCAGATACCTTAGTCTACAGGATTTTTAAAATATATATTTAAATAAAATAGAAAAAAAACAGTCGGCTGCACTGTTTCTACATGTTTCATACGAGGTTGCTTATTAAGACACTAGAGAAAGTATATCTACACCTACAGTTATAACGGCATTTTCTCATATCTTTGGTTTGTTTTATGAGAATAAGACAGAGGCTATAGATAGTCTTATTAGAACTTTAACAATAAATGCAAGAAGAGATTTTTCCAGCAGAAGCAATCATTTTCTATTTTTAATAAAAGCAATTCAAATACAGTCTTATGCATTTCTCAGTAAAAGGCTTTACGTCTTCAGGGAGGAAAATAAACTGTAAAGATCAACATCAAAAACTTTCCCGTCTGAAAACAGATGAACAGAGTCCAGATAAACAGATGGGTGTGTAAGTTATATCAGATCATTTAGATCCACTGAAGCATGATTCTTTCAGGGGAGCGAAAAGATGAGACATTTTCTTGCATCGTTGGTGCAAACACATGAAACTCTGATGTAGTTCTGCTGGACTGTTCTTCAAATATAATCTCAATCAGCTTCAGAATTATAATCCCTGAGGATGTTTAATCATGTTTTTGATAACGTAACAATTTCACATTTAAACATGTTTTTAGATGAGTTTTTTAAGCAGTCTAAGTTACATCTTCCTTCAGTGGTAAGCTCCCCCTTCAGGGAGCTCCTTTCATTATAATGCAGAAAGAGAACTACAACGTTGCCTTCATAAATTATTCATCTGCACTCAGATAAACCTGAGTGGCTTGACTGCAATTACAGTAACCTTAACACAGAATGTGGCTGCGTTAGAGCATCAGGAAACAATCACGGTATGAAACACTTTTTTTCCTCCATGTCATCGATGTGCTGCTAAAAAACCTTTATAATGTGATGGACTGCCCACCTTTTCTAGGTGTACCCCAGTTTTTCCAAATGTTTGTAGACTGGTACCAGTGTATATATGGTTCTATACACTGGCATCTTTTTTTAGAGATATTTCATTTTTACTGACCTGCAGGCGCCCATAAAGTGCTGCCAGGTCCAGAGGGGTTTCCTGCCGATTGTTTCTCATTGTTGGATCGGTCAGCTCCTGAAGAAGCACTGAAACCACCTCGGTGTGTCCGTACTGCGCTGCACAGTGGAGCGGTGTCTCCCTCTCATGGTTCTGCAGAAGAGAAGGAAAAGTTTGAAAAGGAGGCAGCGATGGTTATAGGAGTTCTGGGAGCAATGACGGGTGAAAAGGGAGAAATAGAAGTATATGGAGCGGATTCAGGGGTGAGGAAGAAAAGGTCATGGTAGAAACGGACTGTTGGAGGATTAATGGAGCAGGAGACAAGGTTGGAGAGAAAAGGTGGTGTTGGTTTGAGAGGAGCAGCGTAGAATATAGATACTGTTCTTGAAACTGAGGAAAACCATTTAAGAGGAAAGAACACAGAGGATGAAAAATTATTTGTTTTATCTGAGCTCTTTTTGACATCAGGGATTTCAGAGCACCGGCCTGGAATAACCTCAGTTTATATGAAAGCTTTCAAACCCATCTGGATTATTACAGGGCTCCTAAATGAAAATATCTAGCTCTCGTTTGGATAAAGTTTACTTTCCTTCAGAGCTGCAGGGCATATTTGTCTCGGATAGCTTATTGCAGTTCTTTGGTTTAGGTTTGCTTCAAATCATCAGGACAGCTGCATTATAAAATCCTTAATTATTTAAAAATCTTCTCAAACCTTTAAATAATTCTTCACTAATTACAAAAAATTTTGGTTATTTTCCTACTGCAAAAAAGTAAAACCTGCAAAAAAATTTATTAATTGTAGATACACAAAGACAGCTTATTTGTAATTACCATGGCAACCCATCATCAGTTAAAAATCAAGAATAGATAACTTCCTTCTTATGCTTAAATAGAGCTCAGTTAGAGCATTTTAAAGGTCATGGACTGTCTGGGAATGTCTGACCATGTCTTCACTCTCCAAAGGGCCTCTAACAACCACATTGCTGATGGTCCCTTAGGTCCTGCTGCACTCTATTAAATGTCCAGTTAAACAAGGTCATTTTACTCCCGTTTTAAACACTTTAATCTAGTAAAACCCAAATAAAACAAAGCTATTAAGTTAGTACGGTTCTGTATTTATGCCTACATCTCAAGTATATTATTTTTATTGTCTCTCTATTGTTTCTTTTCTGTGTGGAAATGCAACAAAAACTGATCTGAGGCATTGTTATGTCTATTAGCTCTCCCACAAAGGTAATTTTTTTTATATAGTACTAGTTTGTTTGTTGGTTATGAAGGAAAGCTTTGAACAGAATGAATTGAAACTCTACTGCAGGTGCCTCTTAATCAAGTTTAGAACCAATTCAATTTTGTTGGTGATCCTTTTTTAGGAATATTTAAAGGATCCCTTAACACTGCGATTGGAAATAACCTGCCTTAGGGAGGTCTGTGCTTTAAAGATGCTTTCTAATTAAAAGTTTGTATCATATTCTACAAGCTAGATATTTTATTTGAAATGCTGAAATATTAAGGGATTTATTTTATCTACTTTTGACCTGTTAGAGATGTATGAAATATGTGGACAAACCGCATTGAGGGGCAGGCAAAAAAACAACATTAAGGCTTATAAACAAGCTCTAAAAATAGAAAAGTGCATTTTATCATTGCTAACCTACAAAAAGTGTGAAAATACAGACGATTGGAATGTTTAATCATAGGAATATGGACAGTAAGATTAATTTAGACAATTAGAGAATAATGTTAAGAAATACAAATGATATTCTGATAAGGTCCCTGTAAAGAAGAGCACCTTCACCATGAGGAATGTCAGTAATCATCTGTAATCAATGTCTATACATATGCTCTAAAAGAATATAAATAATCTAGAAAATAAGCACACAGACTATAAATATGTCCCAGAAAGCACTGGAACAAGAATATAGCCATTGTCAGGGCTGCCACTGACCCATTTGTCCCCACAGCCTTAAATGGACAATAAAACTTTGCAGTCTGATCCGCTGTGTCTCAGGCGCGCACACCGCTTGAGATTGGAAAAATGTGATTTCGCAGAAAGAACGGAGAATGACACAGAGATGAGCTCAGACTCGGTCTGATAGGACCAGGAGATGAAGCAGAAGAGGAGGAGAGGAGTTAAAGAAAGTAAAGAAGGAATCCTCCCTATGTGCTCACAGAGTGGCCTATACATTTCCATTACATGCAGGCTGACAGCCTCTCGAAATCATCTAGCATCCAGTTCATTGCTGCAGATTGGCTGCTGAGCAGGAATCCCATCAACAAGCATGGTGTAAACAAACAAATAGGTTTCCCTTTGGCTACAATTGGGTCTGACAAAGTTAATACTGACAAATAAAAACAGAATAAACGGTCAGCAAGGAAAACAAAACACTACTCAGAAGATGACGTATGTAAGGATGAAAGAACAGAATATGTTGTATTTTCCTTATGAAGACGTCCAAATCTGTCCTTCAACAGTTAGTCTGCACAGCAACATGTATATCCAACAGAAACTGAACCAGAGCAGGTGGAGTGCAGAGACCATTTGTTTGAACACTCTCTGCAGTAATGCTGATGGACGGATATGCAGGATGAGCTCCGTCTCTGTAACTTCATCTCATAATCCTTCGAGCTCAGTGTTTGCAGTCTTACACAGAACCAGTTGGAGAATGAGAGGATGAGAGAAATTAGGATAATAACTTCAAACTTTTTTCCCTCTTAAAACATTTAAGGATTAGGATGAAATAATGTCAGAAAAACTGGGAAAATCTGCAATGATTAAAACGCTACAGTTAATAAACAAAAACGTATTCACCTGAGGGTGGAAGACCTACAGTAATGTAAAACTTTCAATTTGACCCTAAATGAAAAGGTCTGTCACTGCTGGGATTCAGATGTTTCTAGCAATATATATAAATAATATATAAAAGTATAGTTTAATATATTATAGACAACAAAGACCACCCAGCTGAGAAAAGGTCTGAAAAATTACATTTATGAAATAAAATAAGAAAAAAAAGCAGAAAGGAAATAACAGCGTTAAAGTGCTTTGAGAGAGTACATCTGTTCTCTGATCTTTTACCCTTGTTGGCTCCAAATTTTTCAAATCAAGCAAATGGTAAAGTCAGAGTTAAATCCTATAGAAAAACTGAGGGATAATATGAGAAAACATAAATGCATATGGTACCCTGGACACTAGCGGATCTAGACAGATTATGTAAATACTCTGATGTCCTACTGGCCAAAGTGAGTTGGATAAAGCTTTAACTGCAGAGATGCCAAAAGGCAAAGAGCATTGAATTAGAGCTTAAATAATAAAAGCGGAATTGAATTCAATATTAAAAACTCATTGGGGTAAAACCCCTTAAAAGAACACAAAAATCTCAGGTTGCCATTAATTTAAACCACTAAGGAGTTGAAACCAATTCTTCTCTGGATGTCAAGCTGTTTTACTTTTAACACTGACCTTCCTGCAGAGATAAACTCAGCTCTGGTTTTAATTATGCAAAGTAAATCCAACCACTTTTTTTATTAGTGTTCCTACATAACACCTCAATTAAACCCCCCTGAAACACCCAATATGCCCTCATGTTGCAATAATCACTTAGGGTGGGACTTTGTTTGGATTCACGCAGAGATGAACAAGTTCTCATTAGCCGAACTTTAATTAGAAAAGCCACTGCTGTCGGAGCCAGGCTGAAACCATATGACTGCCGCCTCTTTTTCTTAAACAGATTGCTCATAAGAAAACATCCATCAGCTCAGTGTGACTGTGTTCTTTGGCAGCCGTCGCCGTGGCAGAGGCCTTGTTAGGAAAGGACTTTCCCAGGGTGGTTTCTCCCAGCAGTAGCATGTGTTAGCAGAGTTCACATGTTGATCATCAGGAAACACATGGCCTCATTTTACTCTTTAGTGCATGATGGTGTATAAAGTTACTAAGAATGTAAGGGGACTGCATACAAGGATTTATCAGTATAAAAAACTTAAAAGGTAACTATGAAATGAATAGGTTAAGAGTTTATTAAACTTGGTGGGAAATGTAGCTTCAAAGGAAATCAAGAATACAAATGGACCTCCACAAGTTCACTACGTCTTTGTGTTTAACTTTAAGATACATAAAGGTTTCCTGGGTGCCTTTGTGTCTGGTGCTTTGGGTACCCCAGCGCTTCCCCCAGTGCTCTGGGGAGGGCGCCTCTTCGGCTCTTCACAACCACTATTGAGCATTTTTCCTTTGGATAAACTTTCCGTGCACAAGTGCACTCTCACAAACAACTACAGGTGCTTGTTTCCAGGAAGTTAGAGATCCACTCCCCTACAGAAAGCCCATGTTCTTATCTTCAGTTACCCCAGTATACATGTCAGATTAAATAATACTTATACTTCAGCGATAGTATCAAGGTGTTACTTTCTTGTATATCTTGTACCATGTCCGTTGGTTGTGTTGTTCTTTTTACATCTCTTTGCAGGTGATGAAGCAGACTGAAAATGCTTTATTGTCATATCTCTTTTATCTCCTCTTTTTTCATCTTTTCTCGCTTTTTTTCTGTTTTTCCTTTCCTGTTGCAGTGTCCATATAATCTGTAATACTCCCTGCATAATTATATTAAAGCTATTTATATGCATAAATCAAGCAGAACACTACTGCTATAGCCGTACTGCTCCACTTGTGAAAGTAAAATTTGTTGGGCTCTTTTTGGCATCAAGATAAAAAAAGTTGTGTATCATCATGGTAGTGTATCATCATCCACAGTCAGTAAGGCATTTTAATATTTCTAGAAAAGTGACATAAAAAGTCAGATCAATACAATACAGTCCAGATCAGAGATTTTAATTTGATTAAAATTATTTAAAATCCCTTTTATTCTAGCATGAAGGACTTTCCATTTTTTTCAACTGATTATGTTTTCCAACTTTAACCGACCAAAGGTCCGTTGACTATAACAATAGCTACTATGAAAGGGGACGTTTTAAGGTTTACAACATATAAAAGTTGAGTCCAGCCGATAGTTTAAGCTTTCCAAAAAAAAAAAATAATTTTAAGAGCAGAATTTTGTAGAAAAACACACATTTAAATGTAAACCAACATTGCATGGAAGAAAGAGATATGCAGAGAACAGAATAACACTAGTTGGTGAGGAAATAATCTGATTACTTAATGCATGAAACCCAGCTGTGCTGTAACTAGGGTCGTCAAAAGTATTGATACTCAAAAAAGTATTGATACTGAAATGTTGTATCCGGATACATTACTCATTTTCAAAAGTATCGATACAGTGCCACCACCAGTGGCACCTAAACAGTCATTCATCTAAAGTGCAGAATAGAGGACAATGCACTTTCTGAACACTATGATTGAATAATTCTGTGCACTTTTCAGTTTCAGACCTTGCAGCTGCTAAGAATTTTTTTTGTTTCTTAACCGGTTTGGCTAGTGTCGTATGTGTGCAAAGCATAGCCAAGTAAGGAAAACTTAATTTAATTTAATTTTTTATCAAGCTTGCTTAATACTGTGCACAGCAAACAACCTCAAAATATTGTTCTTATTGTTTATTGTATTTATTTTTTGTATTTTAATTATTAATCAAAATATTTCTGTTGAAATTTAGAGTTTTTATTCCTGTGGTATTGAAAATGGTATAGAGTATCGAATATTTTCCTTAGTATTGGTATCAAGTTGAAAAGTTTAGTATCGTGACAACCCTAGCTGTAACACTCTTTTGTGCTGAGACTGTAACAGAGTTAAGCCCATGCAAAGTGAATCATTTCCAGCATTAGTGAGTTCAGAGAAAGATTAGATGCTGCTTAAGAGGAAATTTTTTGCAACACACAATTTAGTTGAGCTGCACTATAGCAGGAGAAAAGAATAAACTTTCACAGTTTTCTCCTTTTAAGAGTTCATCTGTTATAAAACACAATGGATCTGCTGTTTGTAGATCAAGAGGAAATCAGACAATAAGTAAAGAAGCTTTACTGTCTCGGGAATGAACAGATATGGGTGCTTCAGGTTTTACTGTCACTTCTAATAAGGCAAATTACTGAAGTTAAACGCTGAAGAGCTTCAAGTGTTTTCCTGTTTAACAACTTGTTCAAACCGTAAAACACTGTTTTATTTTAATAACTCACAATCCGTTCTGTGAGTTATTAAAAATCACCTCACAGCAGTAAGTCAATGTATATTTTTACCCTCTATTGTTAAAAATAGAGGGTAAAAATATCTGTTTAAAACATACATAATTAAAATGTTTTCCATCAAGGTTACATGAAAGACGTGACAGATTCTGGTCTGGTTTTCTTCCACTGCAGCTTTAAGACGTACACTTTTAAAAACACATGAGATCACTTCAAAAAAAATGAGTGAGTCAGCTGGAAAAAAAAAAAAAAAAAAAAATATATATATATATATATATATATATATATATATATATATATATATATATATATATATTTCACAACAAGTAACCTGTCAGTCTTCAAAACATCCACTTGGCCTCTACAGGCAGAGTGCAAGCCTTCAGTAAACAAGCAATCCGTCACCATCAGCCACTGCCTCATGAATGCACATACATAGAGTCGGTGTAAAGCTAATCTCATCCTCTAGTCAGGCAACCAGGCGCCACCTCTTACTCTCACATGCTCTGGCTGCGATAAACACAAACAAGCTGTCAGTGGAAACTACTGGGACCAATTAGGTAATAAGCAATGAATTGGAACTGGTCTACCACTAACTCATAAATACCTCCAATAATTGTCTATTGGTCTAGGAGTGAAATTAACCCCCTCTGTCCCCACTTTCTCTCCCTTCCAAGTGATTATCAGACCTATGTCAGTCAGATAATTAATAATGTAAGACAGATAAAAAACTAAAACAAAAAGATCATTTCAGTTTTAATATCTGGGCCCTTATGTCTGAATTGTAAATAGGCTAATTCTCTGGCAGGGATTTGCAATCTTTAATTCTCTGTGACGGATGAGTAAAAACGACGAAAGGACCCTGATTAATGAGCACACGACAGATTGAGAAAGAAATAAATGCCTTTGGTGTCCTAAAAAACTAACCCCTTTCTAAATCTCAGCTAAATACAATCATTTTCTAACACCAATAACAGCTACAGTAAGATTCCTATAAACACGAAAAGTGAAATCAGTTTCATGATTTTCCTTCCTTCCTTCCTTCCTTCCTTCCTTCCTTCCTTCCTTCCTTCCTTCCTTCCTTCCTTCCTTCCTTCCTTCCTTCCTTCCGTATATTTTCTTCCTATAGACACTTTGAGTGTTGTAGTTTACTTCCAGAACTTTTGCGAATGCGCACAACGGTGGAGGGCAAAACCTTTGTTTTACTAGCCGAAAACGGTCGCACTGCTGCAGGACGACATTTCTATTAACAAGTTGAAACCAGGGGATGTCAGTATCATTAATTTGGATCATCTTTCTTCAGAGAACCACAAATGGTAAACTGCAAAGTTACCTGTGTTTACCCTAAAGCTTCCAGACCCATTTCAAATAGCTGAAGGTCTGTCTGTGAATTGGCAGTACTCAAAATTGGCCGCCTATTTTGTATGTGGATATTTACAATTATCTCATTAACACACCAGGACTTTATACAGCAGAGGCAATGAAGGCATACAAGTCATTAGAAGGATATAACTTCTTCATGTCTGGACATGTGGGGCTAATATTTTATTACAGCGATGATTGCATGAACCCAGTGTGCTTCTTGAAGTGTGCCATCACAGAAGATGACCAACAAGAAAGAGTGTCACTAGTATGTGGTGTCTGCCCACTACATATGCAAAGCAGGGTAAGATGATTTGATATTTATATAAATCTATGTGAGATTAGATGCAAGCCATGTATTTTGGTATTTCAGTTATTTATAGAAATATTAGTCTGTAATATAAAACTTCTGTCTAAATGGGTAGACATAAAAAATGTTATAAATCGTGTGTAAATTAAAGATTTACCGCATTAAATGGGTAACTGGACCTCTTCAAACAATACGCTGCGCTAGCGTTTTTGCCCTCCAGCAGCAAACTGGAGGGGTGGGGTCTTACGCATGTGACATCACATTTCAGATGCTTGTTTACAGAAAGTTACAACACTTTAGAGCAGCCTTTTTTAAATTATGTTTTATTTGTAGAGTTTTTACAGAAAAAAAAAGGCGGGAAATGTAATGGAAGGAAAGAAGAAGGAAAGCAGGAACCAAGGGCATTATTTTTAAACAATGGAAATAGGGAATTAAGTTCCCAAAACTAAAAATACTAGATTATGTCAAATCCATGATATTTTTAGAAATTATTCACTAACAATATTTAAAAAACACCATTAAACAAGTTAACATTAGAAGGCATAGATGCGTAGAGGTCATAATGTCTGCACAGCATCCTGTGCATCAGCAGCTTTCACTTAATGTGGTTCATCTACAGTCGCTCTATCAGCTCTTTGAACTACTGAGTAGGTTAAAAAAGGAAATTACCCATGTTCGCTCGCTGACAAATCTCTTAATTTCAGAGGCAACATTTCTCACAGCAAACAATTAGACCAACAGCTCTCAGAGGAAAACACGTTGGCTAATGGTGACAGAGGAAAACAGGGTTATTAGTTAGGGTAAATAACCCTCCAATAGCCTACAGGGTCCATTACTGCTTTGCACTGTCATCACATACACGTACATCGAATGTTTTCCACAACGGTTCTGATTCAGTGCAACTTCCCGCATCAGTGATCCGTGCAGTCGTCAATATACTGCAAGCGAACACAGACAGGAAGAGCGTGAGGGAAATAGAGGAAGGTTGTTTTTACAGATAAGGAACGACAGCAGCGGCAGGCTGAACGCTCCCAGCAGCCTGTCAGAGAGGGATCACTGGAAGCTAGAAGGGATCAGCTTGCTTGGACAGAGGCCACGATAATAGAACCTGCAGCCGCATCAGTTTGCAGGGTCTAAGAAATGCAGTGGAGGAGCTTTATCTGGAAGGATAACATTTTCCTTTTTCCTGAAGCAAGGGCAGAGAAATGGTTTGGAGCGCAGCATGATAAAGGGGCGAATGTGCAGCTACATTTGCAAGACAAGGATTTTTACCCAACGGGAAATTCTTGTTCAAACTGCATGTGTTCAGGATAAAAATCAGAGAACCTCAGATTCCAAACGATTCAACTTTTAAACATAAACCTGTAATCATCTAAGCCCCAAACTGAGGATAGATTCCCATTTGTTCTCCTCAGCAGGGTGGATCTGAATATGTTGCCTTTCAGGGATTTTCTCAGAGGATGTCGATGGGATTACTGGGATTACCTGCTGGTTGACAAGGCAGCGTGAAGGGCCGTGGTGGATGAGGATGCGGACAATGTCCACGTCTCCCCGCCATGCGGCGAGATGCAGTGGGAAGCAGCCTTTGCTGTCAGCCAGGCTGGTGGACGCGTCATACTGGAGTAGCTTCAGCACCACATCCCTGAGGGCAGATAGATAATTAACAGATAGAACATAGATAAAACCCAAATATCCTTTCCTTGTCCACCTGTACACATTCAGATTTTCTTATTTCTTTGTACCAGAACCCTTCTCTATTCATTTCTGTGTGGCATTTTTTTTAAACACCAGATTTTTACTATTAATGAAAGAGAAAGAGGTTTGTCTATGAAGTTTGGAAACTTTTCTTCCCCAACTATCAGCTGCATATCAGGTTAAAGGCAGAGGTAAATTTCTCCAGTTTGAGATCAATAAAGTTAAATTATTATTATATTGTGGCCAAACTATACAGTAGGAAAATGTTAACATTTAATACAGATCACCTTACCTTAAAGATGTTTATTGTTTAACAAAACTTACATTTGTAACAAATGACAGTTTTAGCAGTAATATAAGCGGTATAAGGCATGCTCATCATTACAGCTGCCTCCCGTTACCATGGTTACTACTACTCCTAGTATAATAGTGGGAAATGCAGTGCTTTGCTAAAGTATTCATGTCCTTTTTTCATATTCTGACACTTTACAACCACATGCTTCAAAGGGTTTATTACTATCAGATGGACCAACATATTATTGCATAATGGTAGGAAAATGGTACATATTGTCTTTTATAGTTTGTTTTTTTACAGGTAGAAATTTGAGAGAGCATGCAGTAGATAAACTTCAATCATAAGCTGGTTTTTTTTAAATATTTGTAATAGAAAATAAATGTACACTCAGTTCCTTTTTAGCTTTTTTTTTTAGAGAAAATCTTTATTGTTATCTGGAGCTTTTTATCAAACAAACTAAAACTATTCAGCTCCCTGTTATTAATACACACCCTTAATAACTGTATGGTTTTATAATTTTCAGTCACATCCTAAAAGACCCACCCTTAACCAATCTGGTATTTGATTATGGAGCCATTAAAACATTACTCACTTTTAAAATGAAGATAACTGATCTAGATCTTAAAAAAAAAAAAAAAAAGAAACACCCCATTCTGATTGTAGTTTGATCCTTTACTAGCTGGTTGGAAGTACTGTTGTCTGCGATTGTGTTTCATATTAATAGCATTTGGGCTGCATTTGTTCCCATCATCCTTAGAGGAAAGAGGAAATTCTGTGGAGCTTCATTAGCACTGAAAATGTCAAGAGGGAGACAAAAGGGCAAGACCTTTCCCAGGAGCTGCTTGGTTCATTTTAATGTTATGTCATAGTTTTGATTTTTGCTATTAAGCTTTAAGATCTACTAAAAGCTAATAAAAGGATCTGAAGTTGTAAAGATCTATCTGAGGACAGCTACTTTTATTTCAAAGTCTGTTGTGACTGAAACTCACTTTCAAGACTAAATGTTGAAACATTGCTGCAACGTAAGTTTCAGCAGGTCTCTAGTTTCGCTTCCACTCCTGTTCCTCACCTGATCTACAGAAGGAAATCCAGATACTGTACTTGTCCCCAAACACAGGATTAACTCTTCGCTTCTATAATCGGCACAAGTGGACGACTAAACTGTGTTTTATTAGGGGCCCCAAAAACAACCCAACTCCACAGGAGAAAATATAAACCCTATTTAAACGAATAAATTAACAGCCAGGCTCGGACTGGTAATCTGTGATACTGGGCATTTGCCCGGTGGGCCGGTCCTAATTTCACCGTGCGAGGGCCGGCCCTCCTCAAATCATACTGGCCCTAACACTTACTCACCGGCCGAAGCTCCTACCTGTGACAGTAATTAACTCAAGGAGCTCAAGAAGTAATACAATGTTAACTACCTAAATGATGCATGTAGTATATATAGCCCTTCCTTGTCATGCACATCCTAGTGACGGTTGGCATATGGTGTAATTTTCTATTTTTTCAAACTGCAAAATCCTTGCGACAAACTATAATAAAACTAAAATGGTTTCTTTAAACCAAACTACAACTTTCCTTTTATATTTGGTGAATTTATGATTTATGCAAAAACATGTTGCGGTGCATGATGGAGTTTTGCATCTAAAGGCTAACGTTTCCCTGCTTACGTAAATTGTTGCCAGGTTGGGATGTTTCCCAAAAAGAAAAAATTGTTCAGATTTAAGGTGTAAAAGATAAATAGACTGGTGTTTAAATTAGGCGAGATTTCATATATCCAGGCAGTTTATTAAAATTTTTTAGGCTGGAAAATGTGAGTCAGTGACGGCGCTGTATGTGTGAGTGGGTGTCTGGCTGGCTTCGTGCATGTGTGGACGTTACGCAGCAGCAGTCACTGTTGCGTCCATGTTAATAACCAAAGCCAGTAAAACCACATCATAGAAGTCTTGGTGATAGTTGTCGTGTAATGCTTGCAGATAGATCTCTTAATCCACAACGTGTATTTGTAAGTCGTTCCCAGTCCGAGCCTGTAAACAGCTATAGATGTAGATCACCCAAAGTATTTATAGTTGCTAAATGCTAGAATAATATGAGTTTAATATGAATTTCATAGATTTCTTTTCTATTATTCAGAGGTTTTCATATAACACTTGGACTGGTGACATAATCTCTTCAGATCAATGCAAAGGAAACGTTCCTACCTGTGTCCATTGAGTGAAGCATGGTGTAAAGGTGTATATCCTGAGCTGTCTGTGCAGTTCACGTTCACGCCCTTCCACATGCTGCAGGATACAGACATACATCACAATTAATAAAGATTTGCAGACAAAGCAGAGGTAGACAGATTCAGGTCTTTAATGTATGCAAAGGAGATGCAAACTACAGCTTCCAAGTTAATTATTTATGTAAAATATTCCACATTCGTCCAAGCTTAACATTCTAAAGATCTCACTCAGTTGTTATTGGTCACTCATATTGAACAAGGAAGGAAGGAGAAAAAAACTCAGAAGGAAAGAAGGAGCGAGGGAATGCTGGAGGGAGAAATTAATATTGTCTGGAAATACAAACCCTTCATATTTTTCTTTTTATGTCTATTCATCCAGATTTAGCAAAATATTGAAATAATTTTCAATATTTTTTCATGAGTAGAAACTGTAAATGTATATGAATGGATGAATTAAAGTCATAGGAAAAGCAAAGTGTAGACTAATAGACAGACCAATATCTGCAAAATGATCAAATATTTCTAAATACATGAATTAAATTAAACTAAAACATAATTTCTTCGTGTAAAGAAAAAAAAAAACTTCTATATGAGATTTTATTTTTCCTTTTTGGTACAAAGCAATAACATTATAACCCTCCATCCACACACAAACAAAAAATAATCTTAAAGTTATATTCAACCTATGGATGTAATAAACACACTGAGACGTACTTGTGTCATGGTAAATGGTTGAAGGAGCCACAAGTAGTAAGGCAGGAGGTGCTGTAATCCAAATTGTAATAAAGTAGGTCTGAATAAATTTAGAATAAGTCTAAATAAAGTGAGTCTGTGGTAAAACTCTAAGCCTGAAACTGCATGGAGGACAATCACAAACGAGGAGCAGCTGTGAGGCAATCAGAACACAGGTGTGCAACAGGAAGTCAAGCTACAAACCAGAGGTGGAGAATTCATATTTCAAAATAAAATACAATCTCCCTTCACAACATAACAGCCTCTTAAAACGTCTCAGAGAATCACAGAGCAGCTTAAATAAGCTCAATCCCTGCCTGATCGACTGTTCAGATCAACAAGGTTGTCAAATTACATCGAGTTGTTTACCTATTAACTAAAGTAGCCGAGGAGCCTCCAGAGACAAAAAGCACATTTATGAATTTAGAAGCTGATCAAATGCTAAAGGAGAGCTTTTAGGAAGGAGAAATAAAAACTACTTGGAGCTCAAACTAATAAAAAAGAAACGTTACTGACAAGCTTTAAATATGTTTCCTCTGGTATCATTTCTTTGGTGGTGAGCTCCAAGCCCTGATTCCATCACCCTAATCTTTAGCTCCTCAAATCAGATCCAAAACTTGACTCCGGATCAGTCCAAAATGTTCCACTGGGTGAATTAATAAAATGAGCTGGGTGAATTAATAAATTACTTTAAACTCAGATCTGCCAGGGATATAAGCTAATTTAGCTAAACTGCATTTGAGTTTTTCAGCTGACAAAATCCAACTTATGAGAACAAATCAAAGCACCATCAGGACTGATTGCTGCTCAGCAGCCTGCTGAGACAATACATGTCTACATTTATAAACTCATAGTAAAAAAAGTGCTGTAAAATAACCACTGCTTAAAGTTCCTGAGTTTCTGCAGGAAAAAAACAAATTATTTTTATTTTTCTGCAAAGATAATTTAATCTGTGGAAATGCAGTTTCATCCCCATCTCTTTCTTGACACTTTACCCCATAAAGCATCTCGTCAACATGCACTTATGAGCTCATTTAACAATTACTGACACCACTGAGCTGCTCTAGTATTGGCTGTGAAACAGCAGAAACTGACAAACCATTTTGAAGGAGGTCTTTAAAAAAGAGAGAGACCAGTAAAATCAGTAGTTCTGGTTTTATTTAACTTATGTTTTCTGTGTATATCTGTGTCCTTTTATTAGGCTGCTGAAACATTGAAATCTTCCTAAAGAGAGACCAAAAAAAAATTCTCAAAGCTCAATAAAAGCTCAATAAAATACAATCTCTTATGATTTTCTTTTTGGTTTAGCTTAGACTCGCTGCATTCAAATACAAAAAATATGCCAGTTAGATGTCAATAATGAGTAAAAGCCTATTTGGATTAATATTAGGGGGGGAGAAGGGTTCAGTAGTCTGTTTCCTTCAAACAGCTAAGAGCAGAGTTTGATTCAAAGGTCTTTGATGCTTGTGTGTTCATATTGATCAATGCTTCTCTGCTGAGGCTTTTCAGCTCTGACCTACAGTAGAGCACAAAGAACCAGTAGTTAAACAGAGAAGACTGACTCCAGATGAAAAGGTAGGAAAACAACACCGAGGAGATCGAAACAAACTTATAAAGGTTTCAGAGTCAAGTAAGATCACAGCTGTATCATATTTGGAACAAGATAGATTTTAAATGTTTTTTTTTGTCGCTCCTGGTTTTTATAGATCAGGTCCTAAACTCCCATTTATATTCTTCACTGGTCATTTATATTCTTTACTGTTGTCACCTTATAACAACCAATCTGTGTAACGGTTCATTAGCTGCTAAAGTCCAAAGACACCTTATTAACAGACACACGCTGCAGTCAGCCCCCGCTTTGCTGCAGAAATGTGTGTGCAGCCACATGGTAAGAGGTTTGAACCTTGTTATAAAAACAGCAAATGGACAAATCCCACTGAGGTGTTGTGTTGACAAACCGTTTCGTGAGGTGAAGACTGATTAAAACATGTTTATTTAAGACATACAGTATGGACCTTGTTTTTCTGGAAGGCAGCTAGTAAAAATGTGTTAAAATTCAAATAGATTATTAAATAAAATGTCATTTTAGGTCCGTTGCAAAATACCCAAAATGAAAAAATATACCTAAGTTATAAAGGATTTAATTGCAACCCGGAAAATTTATATTCATTAGATTGAATATCAGTTTTTTGGGCTGCTAATCATGTCATTCCTTTACAGCAATCAGATGCATAAAAGGATGGCCAGATGGCAAAGATGGATTGGACATAATTCTGTGTTTTAACTTAGAAGAATGACTATATATTAGGGCCGAAACAATTAATTGGATCAATCGTGATTAATCCACTTTCTTACTAATTTAGTACTCGATTACTCGTTAAATCGAGTATAACAGCAATTACACAAAAATGGTTTAAAAAACATGTAAACATTTTGTGTTGAACATCAAAAAATGTTTTTGTCAATATTCTCTATCCAGAACTCCTCAAGTGGAAAATTTTAAGTTTCACCTGGTGTAATATTGTAAAAAGTCTTCCATAAGGAACATTTTGCAATTCAAATATTAATCGATTTATCTATTTGTAAAATAATCATAAGTTGCAGCCCTACTATACTGTATATGTGATAGACTATTTATAGAGGGGCACCAACCTATTAATAATAATAATACATTTTTATTTAACAGCGCCTCTTGACACTCAAGGTCACTTTACAGAAAATACAAAAGATAAATAACCAGTTGTTTCAGCAATGGTTCTTAATATCCGTCTTTCTCACATTATTTCATAAATTATAAGAAACTCCATCGCTTTTTGGTCAGTAAATAGATCCACCTCTATGATGTCCATAAAACATTGTGTTTTAACAGATAAAATCAGTTAAAGATTAGGGAATTTTTCAAAAATTACACCCAAAAAGAAAAACTTCCCCACATCTGTGTGACTTTGATATTTTTTGGATGTTTGTTAAATTCAGTAATTGATTTAGACAGATCAACAGATTTATCACTGTCCAACAGGAGCTTTCTTTTCTACTGTCACCACATGCATCCTCAGTATCACTGACAATAATGCAAATTTAATGCAATCAAATGATGTTTCGTTGGTAGAAAGCCCTTTTACAAACTTAAATTTTAAAATGAAATAATATTTTTGTTTTTGTTTTTTGGTATTTGACTAAAACAAAAATTTTCACCAAAATTGAATCCGTCTATGGTTTTAATTTTTTTTATTTAACATTCCTGTATGTAAGCTGCATCTGTTTGATATAACACTATACCTGATATTGATTTGGGATTGGCTCTGATTAATTCAAATGAATAACATAACTGATATGTTTTTCTATTTTGGGCACATTTTGAAGACAGGCTCAGAGTTATAAGTGTTCATATAACCCAATACAAAAAAACAAAAGCTTCTAGGGAAAAATGTAAAAGGTATATTATAAAATAAAATGATTCAGGACTTGTGGCACCATTACGTTTTAATTATTATTTTATTATATTATTCAAGAACAAAGAAGATAAAAAACTTCATTTAACAGATAGCGAGTTGATGAGTCACTGCCTTATGAATGCGTCTCCCTTATCTCCTCTCGATCCACTTCAGAATTGACTTTGTGACTCTGTCGCCTTCCCTTTGCCATCAGTGGAACCATGAACCCATCCAGCTGAGATTCAACAGACCAGCAGACATAATCCTTTTTTAATTACCATCACAAATGAGACGGAAATTCCTTCCTGGTCAGCAGACTTAGTATTTCTATAAAGGATTTTCATCTTTAACACGTCATCTTTCTCAACTCTTAACTCCCATCAGTAATTTCTACAAATCATTCATCTTTTAATCATCAATGTTGGAAGGTTCAGAGGTCAAACACCATGAAAGGCGTCGCAGCAGGCAGAGCAATGCTGCCCTCTGTATGAACCCTTCTTCAGTTACACTCTGACAGTTTCCCTCCTTCTTCTGAGAACTTCTTTACAACAGAACAGAAAAATGAATCATTTGAATCTACATTTATGAATTGATGACAAGCCCTCCAATTCAACCTATCATCTTTCAAAGGGAGAGAGAGAGAGAGAAAGAAGCTTGTTCAAATAAAGTATCCTGTTGCATCATGATCTACATTTTCTTGGTTTAACTTTAGGCATAGATAAATTTTACCTGATAAGTGCAGAAAAAAAATGTTAACCAAAGGAAAGAAGGGTCTGATTTAGAGTTAAGAGCCATACCGGCTGAAACATGCATGCATACTAAAAAAAGTAAGATGTAGTTTTCACACTATTTATGCCATGCTGATGAGGGCAGGGTTTACTTAAAGGAAGCA